ACTAACATTCGGGTTTAGCCGCACGTCTCTAAAGACGGCTAAACCCGAATATCTCTAGTTCTAGGTCAAATGTTAGTTCTAGTTTTACTTCAATGAAAAATATACAACAATCTAACGCTGAACAACAGCTAAAACTAGAACTAACACTAGCACTAGAACTAACACTATACCTAGAACAAGAATCATTCGGGTTTAGCCGTCTTAAGAGACGTACGGCTAAACCCGAATGATTCTAGTTTTAGGTCTAGTGTTAGTTCTAGTTTTACACTAACGCTGTTGCTAGAACTAACACTATACCTAGAACTAGAATCATTTGATTAAATATTAATTGGAATTAATATAAACATGTATGTAACATATAAATGAAACACAACCAGAAGGAAGGATACCTTTACACGTTAAAGACAGGAATAACAAAAAGGAAAAATTAGCAGCGCCGGGACAATTAGGCTCAATTAGGCTTTACCGGCATTTCCGGAATTAAAATCTTGTGACGTTGGTTCTTTAATTGTGCATGTGAATGACATTATTGCTGTCCAGAAAATGTACAGGTTGAAAGGAATCTTTGTCTGATAATTTCCATACACCTTGTGACTAGGGCTTGAAATACCGGACCAAAATCTCAATACCGGTATTCGGTATTCAAAATTTTTAAAACCAGGAAAACCGATATTAATACCCGTATTACTATAAAAAAATTTACTCACTAAACTACAATCACTAGATATATCTAATTGTAAGATTTTTTCCCCTCTGCTAACAACAGGTTAATTCCTACTACATTTTTAGATTGGCAACAAAGCATAAGATACAAGATCTGAGAAGATAATCAAAAAATGGAAAGATATTAGGAATCTGTACAAAGTACCAATAAACTTAAAAGTCTGGATACCATTATTGTTTTATTGTCTTTCGCTTGGTCCAAAGTTACAACTTCACTGCCGCATCAAAAATGAAATTACACTTCATCATCTGAAGCTTTGTGGAATTCTTTCGAATTCCTGCTTTAGAATTTTCTGGAAAGGTGCAGATTCAAGAAAGAAACTTTAACATAATGGCTCTTGGTAGTTTTTCAGACTTATCATACTACTGTTATACTTGGTGGGACACTACACGAATCAAACTGCCCTAAAACACCACTGTTGGCTAGTTATGACAAATTTATTGAACAAGAACATTAAGTTATCGTCATCAAAGGTTGAGTTTTCGTTATCTCCAACATTCTATCAGAGTGCAAAATGATATTTCTTGTAGATGGTATTCACACTGATCAAAAAATGTCACTTGAAAAAATGAGGTTGCTACGGACATAAGATAGATAACAAATTTCTGTTTGGTCTGTATCAATCGGTCGCCTCCGGCTAGCATTTTTTTAATGACACGTCAAAAAATGTCACTTGAAAATGTAAACATAGAACGGACAAAATATAGATAACAAAGAAGAATCCTCTACGTCATTTTCCAGCACAACTTCAAACTAGCATGGCAGTTTTCGAAGACATCGAAGACAAAAATTGTCCGGGATCCCGGTATTGCAAGCTCTACTTGTGGCGTAGTATAGAGGTCAGTGCAACCTTCCGGCAAACGGAAGACCTGGATTCGTGTCCCGGTGCTGCTAATTTTTCCTTTCTATTATTCCTGTCTTTAATGTGTAAAGGTATCCTTCCTTCTGCTTGTGTTTCATTTATAGAATCATTTGGGTTTAGCCGTCTTGAGAGACGTGCGGCTAAACCCAAATGTTTCTAGTTCTAGGTCTAGTGTTAGTTCTAGTTTTACACTAGCACTGTTCCTAGAACTAGTACTATACATAGAATTAGAATCATTTGGGTTTAGCCGTCTTGAGAGACGTGCGGCTAAACCCAAATGTTTCTAGTTCTAGGTCTAGTATTAGTACTAGTTTTACACTAACACTATTGCTAGAACTAACACTATACCTAGAACTAGAATCATTTGGGTTTAGCCGTCTTGAGAGACGTGCGGCTAAACCCAAATGCTTCTAGTTCTAGGTCTAGTATTAGTACTAGTTTTACATTAACACTATTGCTAGAACTAACACTATACCTAGAACTAGAATCATTTGGGTTTAGCCGCACGTCTCTCAAGACGGCTAAACCCAAATGATTCTAGTTCTAGGTATAGTGTTAGTTTTACTCTTGCAATGTCACTAGAACTAACATTAGACTTAGAACTAGAAACATTCGGGATTAGCCCTACGTGTCTTAAGACGGCTAAACCTTAATACTTAGAATTAGAATCATTTGGGATTAGTCGTCTTGAGAGACGTGCGGCTAAACCCGAAAGTTTCTAGTTCTAGGTCTAGTCACAGAATAACCAGAAGAGACAGTGGAGGCGTCTAAACAACTTAAATTGGAGTTTATTTATATTTACAGTTATAGTGTAAACCTTACTTCAACTCCAATTTAAAGGGCTCGACACAGACGCCATTGACTGAAGGTTATTCAAACGACGATATAAAAAATCTAACGTTCCGACAAAGCTGTCTCTTCTGGTTATTCTGTGGTCTAGTGTTAGTTCTAGTTTTACACTAGCACTGTTGCTAGAACTAACACTATACCTAGAACTACACTATACACTATAGTTCATTTTTTTTTTCTATAATACCTTCCAAATAGTTGTAAAGTTGGCAAAATTAACAGAGAGTTTTGTTTTATCATGTTTTGAAATAAATATGTCACACTGACGTTTGAGCTTTCGTTATTCAAAAAGAAAAGGTGCATAAAAAATGTTGTGGGGAGTTTATTTGCCATTTATTTACCTAGAAAAGGTGTTTTGTTCTATTTAATTACTTTGTAGCACGTTTTTACAACAAATATGTACTTAATAAAATATTTTTCGAAAATGAATTTGAAGTAGAAAGAGGTCATAGAAAGTTTCCACCGAATAATAAACAATAATTGGTGCACATGGAGCAAGATAACAAAAAAATAAAAATGCTGTTGAGAAGGACGTTCAAATCAAAATGCAATGAGTTAAAACGGCGTAAACAAAGGAAAGACATCAACTATTGGATAACATTGCGAACAAGTTAAAGAGTTCACGACATCAAATTCCAGTACATGCTGATAAAAGGAATTGTTTACACGATTATTTGTACAATTAAGATAATAAAGTGTTTCTCCGAAAAAAAATTAAAAAAAAAATAACCATGCTTAATTTAATTTAAATTAATTAAAGCAACATTACCAATAAAGTTAATGGAGTGTTTTCGTCGACGTTTTTTTCCATAATTTATTTTCTTTATAAGAGAAAAATGAGCAAGACCTTAGAATAAAGAAATTTTCGTTACGGTCCTGATCATCAAACGTCAATACTTAAAAATAATGTCAAAAAAGAAAAATCTAACCTTAAAATCAAAAGAAATCACAGAAATTCACCAAGTATTAACTGAATAACTTCAAAACTTCTTTGTGAATGATAAATTTCGGAACATAACGGTGTTTGCCAAAAAAATCTAACGGTTTTTGGTAACCTTAATTATTCGCGGAATTATACAATAACAATCAAAAAAATGTTTCGGGGGCTGTTTAAAATTAAAATAGAAATCGATCTAAACTAATTTGAAAAACTTACGTGGAACAAATCACGTTTAATCCATGATTTTTCGGGAGTGAACTACATCTCAGCGAGAAGACCGTGAATAATGATTTTTCCAGGGTCGGACTCAACAGGTTATTTTTGGTTAGGTGACGTCAATAAAAAAATAATTCTAAAACTGAAAATATATTTTATTCTCGATTATACACAAAAAATTATTTACACAAAAGTTTCTTAAAAGAGATTATTATACAAAAATAAAAATTAACTTTTAAACCAAATCAGCCCGGGGAAAGAAAAAATATCACACAAAAAAGACGCAAAACTCGCTCGTTAAACCAATAATAAAAAGAAATTGTGCGTAAAAAAATAAATATTTTCGTTTACAAACTAAAACTTGATGATTCAAAACGCTAATTAATAATAAATTGATAAATTCATGAGATAATGATTATATCGTAATATTATTATAGGTAGATACAGGTTTACATTTTACTTAGTTAATACTGAGTATTATTTATTTATTTTTTGTTGATGTGGAATTGTGAATGTTGATGAATTAATTTAGCAAAAAAAAAGATCAAAAAAAGTAGTTAGACAAACGACTGAGGGGAGCAAATAATCAACCAGGATTATCCAGCTGAATTATTCGGCCTGCTTATTGTTATTTTATTTGGAGTGAACATATTTGCGTATTCAACCCTAAAAAAAATAATTCACTCAAATTAATACCATATTAATCATATAAACATAATTAAAATTGAATATGTGATGCGGAAATGCGGAATCCAAATATACCAGCTCTGTGCGAAACAAGATGGTCTCAAAAATACCGAAGTATTTCTATCTTCATGCAAAACTTCTTAGGAATCGAATCGTACATAGTCTAGACTATAGAGAGACTCGCAGAGAAAGGAAACACTGCTACAAGAAAGACAGCCTTTCAGCTGCATTGTGCTGCCACAGAACCTGCATTTATTATCTCCACCTGCATTATATCTAAGTACTCTGCTTTACTGGAACCTGTTGCAAATGTTTTGCAGTCAAAGGGTTTAGATCTTCTGCAAAGTACGAACCACATTAAGAAAATTGTTGATGTAGTGAAAGTTCAAGCCAAACTACGGATGCCATTATGAAAGATCTCTTTGCTTCTGCCAATAGGATTGCGAAGCAAATACAAATAGAACTTCATCTATCCAAAATAGTGAAGCACCAGCAGCATCGTTCAAACACTCCTGCAGATTCACCTGCTGAGTATTGGAAACGTACGATACTTATTCCATACCTGGACTCTTTAACGTCAACGTTGGAGAACACATTTTCTGTAGAAAACGTACCTACATCCGTATCGTATGTTAAATTTGAAGATTGAAGATTTTAAACAGAGAGCAAAATCTATTGCTGAATGGTACGACCTGAAAAAGCTTCAGTCTGAAACTAAATTGTGGTATAATAATAATAATAATGCCTTTATTAACATGTGTGGGCTGAGAAAAACCTTGATAGACAGATCTTAAAAGATCTGGAAATGGTTGAAGTGATTAAAGAAGCTAATATATTCTTTCCCGGCATAAAATCTTGTGTCGGAAAAAAGAATGAGATAGAGTCAGAAGTCATAGAAACATTTTCTGAAAATCCTAAGCGATTAATGTTATAAATAAAGTATGTGTTATTTAATTTAACGATTCTTCAATTCTTGAAACCCTCCCACCCCTCTCCCGGTCATGCAAGTCTCCTAGATGTTAACTCTAATTCGCCCCCTCCTAGACCAAATTCTGACTACGCCCATGTATCAAGTAATATTGGGCCAATCGCGATGTTTCAAAAATGATTCTGATCAAACCCAACGTAGTTACAAGAAAAAATTTGCCAGAAAACAACTACAAACTACTTATTTAATCAAAGGTCAAAACCAAATTAAAACAAAAAGATTAAAACAAATAAAATGTACAATGTCGGTGAATTTGTTGCAAAGGTTATCAACAAAATTGCTAAGAATGCTACTTCATTTACTGATAAAAAGTACGTTGTGAAGTTCCTGATCAATTATGATGAACAAAATGCGATTTATCTNCAAGGACAGTAGAATCTAACAGGACTGCTACATCCATTGTTGTGACAACCTGCCCGCAAACTACGTCACATCATTTTCCACGCCCAGCTGTTGTTATGGTCTATGCGTTTGCTGTGTTTTTAGAGGTTATATCCTAGACTTATTCATATTATTTTTGAAGTTTTATGTTTTTAGACGTATTAATGTCTATCATATAACCTCTAAAAACACAGACAGTTACCAGGCGTGGCAAATAGTGTGACGTAGAGCGCGGGCAACCAACCCGTAGTGGACTACAAAAATACAATGGATGTAGCAGTCCTGTTAGATTCTACTGTCCTTGGCAATAACTAATAAATAATAGTTTTGTGTTTTTTTTATTTGTTGTTTTTGTTTATTTAATTATTTAACTTTATTTTATTTATTTTTTATTTATAAAACTTATCGCACATTTGTTAAAAATTGACCACCACTTATCACATTTGTCTATGTTTTTAATTTCTTCCTCCCATTTAGGCCAAACCATGCCTTTAACTAACATTCTAATCTCCAATCTACACCTTTCCTCAAATTTATTTTTACACTTAAATAGAACGGAAATTACAACGGAAATTCATATTTTCCGATTCTATTTAAATACTTCTCAAAATTGCCATGACCAGTAATTAGCTCTACAGTTTCGGGTTTTAAAAATCTACCAACCCTACCAACTCTTGGTATAAACTGATAAGTCAACCTCCCAGTCACTAAGTTATCCCATCTATCTTGCCATTCTATCCTAACTAATCCTAACTAGGGTCAAAATGATGATTCGTGTAAAAATTTTTGAAGAAAATAATCTAGAGTTTGATTTTTATTTTATATAGAATTTAAGTCCAACTAGTTTCGGCCCTCGCCATCTTCGAGACTCTACAAATAGATTAACATCTCGCATCTTATCCATTTTACAAACAAGTTTCTTAATATTTCTTTTTGTTTTGTTAAAAAAGATCACATATCAAAGTCGAAATCACATTATTAGTTACTAATTTATAAAATTAAAGGTTAATATTTATAGGTTTATAGGTTAATATTTAAGAACGCTCTTTTAACAAAAGAAATCAAGGCGGAAAAGTGAATAACACTAGATTAATTTCAGTTATAAAACTTCTATATGATAACTAACTTCAGGTTTAAAATGTCAACCTTAATTTTGACATATTTGTAATCTTCATTAAAAATCCTTTAAAATGAGTACAAACACGACATATTTATCTTCAATATTAATGAAGTTATGGTCAACTTCCGGTTAAGAATGTCAACGTCAATTTTGACATATTTGTAATCGTCGTGAAAAATCCTTTAAAATGAGTCCAAACATGATACGTTTAATTCCAATATTACTCAAAATATAAACAACTTCCGGTTTGAAATGTCAATGTCATTTTGATATGTTCTTAATTTTTATAAAATGTCCTAATATTTGTCGCAAAAACAAAACTATAATAAAAAAAAATAAAAAATTAAGGTTGGTATTAATATTTGAAAATTAAATTGCTATCGTCATTGTTGCTAACTTCGGGTTTAATGTTTTTTATTCCAACTTTTTTGTTTTTTGAGATAAGTGGGTCATCTTTGGACTCATTTTAAAGGTTTTTTTAACGAAGATGATAAATATGTCAAAATTGACGTTGACGTTTCAAACCGGAAGTGATTGTATCTCCATTAATATTAATGTTAAATATGTCGAGTTTGGACTCATTTTAAAGGATTTTTTATGAAGATTACGAATATAATAATAAAATTAAAGTTGACGTATGGTGCAAAACGGACTTGATATCGTATAATGCGATTGTCGCATAGCTTTATCCTTTAAAAGAATTTTTTTTCTAAGATAAGTTACACCTTTATCTACCAGACAACATGAAAATCTCTAAAAACAATAAAATGTCGCGTAGTGAAGGAGGATAAATAACAATAAAAACAAAGTGATAGTGTTGTCTTTCATGCCTGTAGGGCTCACTAAATTTTCTTGTGCATTTGGGCTCTTTAAAAAGAAGTTCAGAACAATGTACATTTCTTTTATCCAAGAACTGATTGATTGCGCATTTCAGTCTGAAGTAAACTCTGCTGCGTCCGGTGGAAATGAAAAGGGCGAAGTTAAGATCCAAATGTTTGACTGACTTAACTTTTTTAAGGATTTTAAATCCAAGAACCATTTTGAGTTCAATGAAATCAACAAATAAAAAATACTATAAGAAAGTACTGTAAAGAAGAATCAAAAGACACTTGTTAACATTCCTGAAGGAGTTGAAGATCCTGATGAACTTCAACCGGCGCCGTCTATCAGTCAAGAACCCACTAAGAAGCGCAAATGACCCATTTAATATAGACAAATTTAATGTTATAAATAATCATAATGTGACAATAGTGTCATAATGACTATTGTGTTTTCTTAAAACAAGAATTTCTACCGTTTAAGTTGATGTATTACTTGTTTCTAAAATATAAAAAATAAAGTCAGTGTGATTGAACAAAAACTTTAAACATGTTTCTCTCAAACCACCCTTTTTCTAAACTAAGACATTTTTCTTAACTAAGAAAAAAATAACTCAAATTAAAATTTTTTAGACAATTGGTCCCTTTTCGCTTTCCACATCACATATTAATTCTTACCTGACATGTTGTGGCAGTAATGAATCATCTAAATCGTATCGTTTTAACGCAAGGAAACATAACGTTTTTAAACTAGGATTCATGTCGAGAACGTGCATATCACTATGATCTATGAGCTCATCTTCATCAAAACGAACAGTACAAATAGGACTAAAACAAAAAAAAATAATAATGTTGATTTGAACGTTTCTAGTTTTAGTTCGAATAACAATTAAATTATTAACCTTGTGCCACCAAATAGGAACAATCGATTCTCAACTAAAACGCAAGCTTGGCGTCTACGACTACAAGGTGGTTGACCGTGAGCTTTAATTTCCCGCCATGTATTCGTAGAGGGATCAAATTCGTGGAGATCATTGAAATGAACCAATTCGACTGCATTGTAGCCACCAAATATGTACATTTTGTTATTATAAACAACTAAAAGTAAATTCATTTTAAAGACGGTTTAAAAGGATATGCCACTTTTGAAAAGCCAATTATAACATTTTTTGTCTTTCCTTTTTACTCGATTATACATAACAACTGTGACTCGGGGCATAAAATTATTCGTATTTATTCGTGAAAAAAAATTATTATAAAAGTCTTCAAATGGCCAAGATATTGGCCATCAAAGTTCCGAATTTTAACACATTTTTCGAAAATTTTCATTACCATTTATGGTAGAGCGTTGAAATTTGGTACAGGGTAAACAAATATCAAGCAAAATCATTGAACCAATTTTGACTTTGATAGGGCGGCGGAACCATGTTATAGAGGTGTCCCTAAAATTTGTTTGCTCAGAACTTTTTTGTTCGCTCGTAACGCTACATTTATTTTTGTACTTTTTAATAGAAAATTTATTTTAGAAACTTTTATCACTCTTTGACAATTTTGATAACATTGACCGTTTTCGAGTTATACGCGAAAATATTAAGCTTCGATTTCAGTGGTAACACTAAAAAACAAAAATCTTCGAAAAAGTCAAGGTTGGCTATGGCAATTAAAAAAAAAAACAAATTGAGCTGTCAACTTGCTTATGTCGTTTAAACACAAACGATAGTTTTTTGTTAGTTAAGTTTTTATTAATTTTAAGTGTTCAAAATGGAGAGTAACACATTTAGTGAACAAACTGACATGATTTTGACATTAGGGGAATGTCATAGAAACGCCGTAGGAGCCGCTAATGGTTATACTTTGGATATGGCGAAGCATTTTTTAACTTCAAAAACAACTGTCTGGCGTGTTCTTCACGAGCAACAGCTTTATCCATTTCATTGTTACAAAGTTCAGGAAGTTCGACTGGCTGATTACCCACTAATTTAATTGCCAAATAATGCAGCACAAAATCCAAATTGATGATCAGTTTTTAGAAAAAGTGCTTTTTACAGATGAATCCACTTTTTCTAAAGATGGAATCATCAATTTGAGAAATTTACATAGTTGGGCGGACGAAAATCCAAGATTTAAGAAAACTTGGAAATCACAATGGAGTTTTTCTCTTAACGTTTGGGCGGGTGTAATTATTGGACCCGTTTTCTTGCCATCAAGGCTGGATGGACATACATACAGGCGATATTTAGAGGAATTAGATAATTTTTTAGATGACGTTCTTTTAAATACAAGGCAAGCAATGTGGTATATGCGTGATGGTGCTCCTGCGCATAGCACACAGGTGTCCAAGAATTTCTGAGGGAACATTTCCGGGACGGTGGATTGGACGAGGGGTAGGTGCATCGATAAGTTGGCCCCCCCGATCGCCGGATCTTACACCTGTAGATTTTTATTTATGGGGACGCGTTAAATCGCTAGTTTACTGCGTTGAAATAACTTCCGTTGATCAACTGAGGTTGCGAATTGTTGATTCATTTGATCAGCTTCGAACTGAGATCAATGTTCTCCGCAGAGTGCGCTTTAATCAGGCGTGCATTGATGCCGGCGGTTTTGGAAATTATCGTCTTTTATTCAACTAAAACAAATTAACACTGGATATAACTAAATCTGCACTTAGAAATTTATGCAAATAATGGTTATTAGCTCAGTTCGTTTTTCAATTGTCATCGCCAACTCAAATCTTGCGGAATATGTTTCCTTTTTTTGATATATTTTTTGAATATTTTTCCTTAACATTTTCGCGTATAACTCGAAAACGGTCAATGTTATCAAAATTTTCAAAGAGTGATAAAAGTTCCTAAAATAAATTTTCTATAAAAAAGTACAAAAATAAATGTAGGGTTACAAACGAACAAAAAAATTTTGAGCAAGCAAATTTTAGGGACACCTGTATAGCATGGTTGCCGCCGCCCGAAAAATTCAAAATTGGTTCAATGATTTTGCTTGATATTTGTTTACCCTGTACCAAATTTCAACGCTCTACCATAAATGGTATTGAAAATATTTAGAAAAATGTGTTCAAATTTCTGAACTGTGATGGCCCATATCTTGGCCATTTGAAGACTTTTATAATAATTTTTTTTCAGGAATCGTCATCATTTTTGCTCTAGTATATGAGGTTAAATACAAACCTTGCCCGTCGTCATTATTACAAGTATGCAACCAATATCACAGTATTGATATAGCAATACGCGATTTGCGTCTTTGGTTGCATACTTGCAATGATAACGATAGGTATGATAATAATTAAGTAAAGTTGTCTCTTTTACAACCATTTTTACGTATGTAGTTTTTTATCAATAAATATGATAAATCTGGTAAAATCAGCACCATTTTGCCAAAAACGAATTATTTTTTAGCAATCCTACGTAGTTCTCTAGCTTTTGAGATTAGAAAAGTAGTCGTTCTTGAAATCTGATTATTCGAATTCCGGTTTAGAAGAAATCCTACACACCAAATTAACCCTGCATGATTTGCAAGCCTAACATTGCAGATATCTAGTGGGCGCAATTTTAATTATTGATAATAAATAAAGTATGTGTTTAAAACTAGAAAAACTGCTTATANGAGGGATCAAATTCGTGGAGATCATTGAAATGAACCAATTCGACTGCATTGTAGCCACCAAATATGTACATTTTGTTATTATAAACAACTAAAAGTAAATTCATTTTAAAGACGGTTTAAAAGGATATGCCACTTTTGAAAAGCCAATTATAACTTTTTTCTCTTTAATTTTTACTCGATTATATATATGTATGTAGGTATTTTGACATTAGTTAGACATTTAGTTTACTTTTCGCACATTTCAACTGCGAAAATTAAAAACTAGTAGTGATTACGAAGTGCGTATAATATATTTCCAAGTATGGGTGGTAAATAAAGGAATGCGAAGTTTTTCATATCCTGCAGTAAGACGTACAGTACGTGGCAGAAAACCTTTCAATCGTCATATTCTAAAACACCAAAGTGAGAGTATGACCAGTGCAGCTAAGAAGTTAAAAATGAGCGAAGATGACTACAACGTTGATTTTTTTTTGTTTTCACTGCACCTCCTAATATTGTTGTTTGTAAAAAATGTGGATCGAAAATTAAATTTTTAGAAACAGCTCAACATGGCTTGAGTTTCAAAGTGTATGTGTTCGCCGCGTTATACAGAATGTCCAGAAGTGACTTGTACAAAGATAAAACGAAAAATACGAATTCTGCTGTCAAGTTTAAGTGACAAACTGTTTTTGTTTTTAAAATTAATTATACCTAGTCAACTATTAAAAAAAAAGTTTTTAGTTACTTTGCATCACTCATTCGCGCTTGTGGGGATTTACAAAATATTTTTTTGTGGCTAAACCGTTCACCTAACTGAAATTTTCTAAGAGAAAAAATAGTTTCTAAATTAAAGTAACTATTAAAAAAAAATAGTAGTGTTTGTACAGGGGGTCAAAAAGATATGGATGCATAATGTATTGTTACAAAGTTTTTAAACACCCCATAATTTTCGAAATTAGAGCTTATTCCATAAATAGCTGTAGTCTACTGATACAAATGCATGACCAAAAAACGAATAAAATACATCGAGGATTTTTCGACTTATTTAAAAAAAATGTAAAAAACATATTATTTTTAAAGCCCTCTAGTGGCTAAACAAAGCAGTTTTGTATATACAGTGTGTCCCCGGATAGGTGAAACGACTCTTATAAAATGTAAAATTTTTTCTATATTAATTGTCGTCTTTTGGGGTTCAGCCCTGCTTGGTTAAAAACTAATTTTGAACATATTTTCAAATTTTAAAAAACAAGGGTGTGTTGACACTGAAGCGAAAACTTCTTGTGTGTCAGGTAAAGTACCTTTTCTATTCACAGTATGGTAAAATGTTACTAAGAAATTTTATTCAGAATAAAAAATTATGGCCATATGAAAATTTTCGGAATCATCGGCCTACTTTGATAAAACCAATTGTTTATTATTTTCGTCAATAGTTACGATTTTTTGTTTTGAGATTCAGATTATTCGGGAGAAATAAACAAACCATTCTTAAAATGTTCACAAAAAATTAAATGTGTGTTTGTTCACAAAAGAAAACAGTTAATCAGTTTCATCATAATTTTTTTTTCTTAGAAGGAATACTTCCTGCTGTAAGAAATCTTTTGATTAAATGCCAACAAGTACTTCTTTTCATTCCAGTATTTGGAAATTTTTCACTAAGTAAAGCAATAAGCATATTTATCGGGGTTTCCCAGGTTCCATAACACCGAATCACGTAAACTTTTTCCTCTAATGTTAACAATGTACTTAAAAAACAGTTTAAGTTTACTAAATTACAGTTTGACAGATTAACAGTGACAGGTGTTTTTCCATGGCAGTCTTTGTTAAAAATAAAATTGTTTGATATGGATTTTTTCAAAGAAGGACGATCATTCCGAAAATTTGCATATGGCTATAGTTTTTCATTCTGAACAAAACTTCTTAGTAACACTTTCACGTACTGTAAACAGAAAAGGTACTTTACCTGCCACAAAAAGCGTTTTTCTTTCACTGTCAAAGTACACTTCTTTTTTAAAATTAGAAAATATACTTAAAATTAGTCTTTATCCATGCAGGGCTAAACCCCAAAAAATGACAATTAATATTGAAAAAATTTTACCTTTTATAAGAGTCGTTTCACCTATCCGGGGACACACTGCAGATAAGTTGAGTTAAATCATCATATTTTTGGTCAACGTACTTGTGGTCTTGCGTTGTACACATCATTTCCGGACACCCTGTATATTATCTTGTCATTTGATAGACAATTATGCCTATGACATCAATCGAATATTTAGTTCTAATGCAGTAATAGTAAAAAAACCAATGACATTTAAACGTCAAAAATATTTCTGACAAAGATTGCAAAGCCTACTAAGATTTTTTCATTAAAAATTCATTCCAACTTTCGATTAACAACGCTACAGCTTAACAGTTAGTGTTTGCTTAATTAATTTTTTTCTCAGAAACTTTTCGAAGAACATCAGAGAGGCAAAAAAGTTTTAGAATATTTTCATCTATCTAAATAAAATGTTTTCCATGTATTTATCATCGTCATAAAAAAAATCTAGACAAAAATTGAACGGGGGTGGTTAAGTTTAGTAACTTAGAAGGGAAGATTGAAAGTACAAATAGGCTCGAAACATTATTTCCCAAATTTCATTTTCCTGGTGTTTATGGTTTTCCAAAAAAACCAAAATTTTTCGCCATATTTGAAGAGGCAGGGGAGTCGAAATCGCTCATAGTTTATATAAGAAAGTACCCTTAAAATTGCCTAAAGAATCACTCCTGAAGTTTAGGCACGTCATTCAGATACAACCTGTATATGGTTACCAAAGTTTTTATACAGGGTGTCAGATAAAAAACGCCACAAGCTGTAACTCTGTCATTTACATTCCGATTTTGATGAGCGAGTTATCAAATGAAATGGTTTGATAAATACTATGATTCATGCTACAAATAAAATTTTTACAACGCCATCCTAAATTTCAAGCGATTATTAAATTGCTGCGTATATTTTTCTTCGCGTCATTGGATAGAGTTTGTTTTTATGAATCCATTGATGTACAATACATCAATTTTAAATGTAATATCAGCAGAGAAAAGACACCTGTATATACAGGTTGTCACACAACCGTATATCGTTTAAATTTGAAGATGGCGTTGGAAAAAGTTTATTTGTAGCATGAATCATAGTATTCATCAAACCATTTCATTTGATACTTCGCTCATGAAAATTGGAATATATATGACAGAGTTACAGCTTGGGGCGTTTTTTATCTGACACTCTGTATAAAAACTTTGGTAACCATATACAGGTGTATCTGAATGACGTGCCCATTATAAAAACTTTGTATGGTTACTGCATAGGTTAACCTATAACACCTTACGTACGTTGTATCAGTTATTGTCAAAATCATAGTTCAAATTTCAAAGCAAGATTTTAGCATTACCAACCTACGGCACAAATTACTAGATATGTGGAAAAAGTGCTACCAACTGACTCTTATTTCGCCGATAGCAATCCTACCGACAAAAATAGTTTGTACAATAGCGAATATCTTTATCCTCCCGATAAATTTATCGGCCGGATAGTTATCAGGTAGATTTATCGGTATATTGTACAACCGGCCCTTAGAACTAGAAAGTGTCGGATTTAGCCGTGCATTCTGGTGATAGTGTAAAGAATTAACACTAGACCTAGAACTAGAAACATTCGGATTTAGCCCCATGTCTCTCAAGACAGCTAAACCCGAATGATTTTAGTTCTAGGTCTTGTATTGGCTCTGGTAATAGTGTTAGTGTAAAACTAGAACTAACACTAAACTTAGAAGTAGAAAGTATCGGATTTTGCCGTGCTTTTAGACGCACGGCTAAAACGGCTAAGCGAAGATCGTACTTTCAGTTTTGCCACGAATCGGACTAACGTCGTATTGCCCACGCTGAGCATTCCATGACCAATGAGGCTAAAGAAGCTCGTAGAAGCTTATTGTCAGACAGATTAGCTGCAAAAGAAGAGAATAACCAACCGGAAAGACAAATGTATGGATCAATTATAAACGTCTTTTTCTAAAAATTACATTTTTCCAATTTATACGTATAATATGACATTTTTAAACGGATTTTCAAAAAAATTGTTTGTGTTCAAGGACAGTAGAATCTAACAGGACTGCTACATGCATTGTATTTTTGTAGCCCACTACGGGTTGGTTGCCCGCCATCTACGTCACAGTATTTGCCACGCCTGGTAACTGTCTGTGTTTTTAAAGGTTATATGATAGACATTAATACGTTTAAAAACATAAAACTTCAAAAATAATATGAATACGTCTACGATATAACCTCTACAAATACACAGCAACGCATAGATCACAACAACAGCTGGGCGTGGCAAATGGTGTGACGTAGTTTGCGGGCAGGTTGTCACAACAATGGATGTAGCAGTCCTGTTAGATTCTACTGTCCTTGGTTTGTGTTAATTAATTATCGTACCAGACGTCATCATTGCAAGTATGCAACCAATATCACAGGATCGGTATTTCAATACGCGCTTTGCGTATTTGGTTGCATACTTGCAATGATGACGTTGGTTATGATTTATGATAATTAATTAACACAGTGTACATAACCGTTTTTCGATGTATCTAAAGTTGTCTCTTTTACAACCCTTTTTATGTACGTTTTTTATCAATAAATATGACATTTCTTGTAAAATCAGCACCATTTTGCCAAAAATGAAAATTTTTTAGAAAGTCCCTAGTTTTTGAGTTTAGAAAAGTAGTCGTTTTCGAAATTTGATTATTTGACTTCAAGTTTAGGAGAAATCCTGCACAACAATTGACCTTGCATGATTTGCAAGCCTAACATTGCAGATATCTAGTGGGCGCAATTTTAATTATTGATAATAAATAAAGTATGTGTTTAAAACTAGAAAAACTGCTTATAAAAACCTCGCAACCCGTTTTTAAAAAGCATTTTTCCTCGCGCTACAAAGAAACCTTTATTTTTGGGTCTCCAAGGTGGCATATCTCCTTAACTTAATTTAATAACCTTACATGCAGAATGACTTCTTCGACCAATAGCTTTTTGCCCATGAACAACAGGTTTAACCCATTCGTGTGTACGAAGATCTAAATACCATATATCATTACAATAAACATCTACCACTATGTTTGATGAAAAACCATCCATTTCAGTTCCTCTACCACCAAATACGTACATTTTATCATTTATACAAACAGCAGAATGAAAATCCCTGTTGCTTGGCTCTACACCTAAATAGAAACAACATTTTTATTTATTTTTCAACACCTTTAAACTTTACCTTTAACATAAATCCCCGTCCAAACCATTTTTTCTAAATCCAACATATAAGTTGTTCTAGCAAAAGCATCAATTCCATCTTCATAACCTCCAAAAATATACATTCTATTTTTCCAAACGCAGGCACTATGTCCATCCCTAGCTGGAGGTAAATCTCCGGTAGTTCTTGGAGCGGTCCAACAATGCCAAACAGGATCGAATTGGAATAGCACAGAACACGAAGCGGCATCATTACGTCCACCCCAAATATAAATTTTTTCTTTATACAAAACCGCCGTATGTCCGTACCGTTTATACGGCAAAATATCGTCGTTTTCGAAATATGGTAAATCACTTACTGGATGTTTAGTCCATCGAAAGGTGGTCGTGTTTAAAACGTGGACATCCATAGAGGAGTATTTACGCGAATTCTCTCCAGTGCAATAGCCCCCAAATGTGTATATTTTGTGCCCCACAGCTACAGCCGCGTGATTTACTCTTCGGGGGCCACCTTCCAGATGGGTTATCCACTGCATGTCGTCTTTTTGTACTTTACTTATCAACTTTTTAGGTTATTATATCCTTTAGAAGTGTGGGTCAAGTGGTTTGTGTATTTTCATGACGTGTACAGTGTATACTTGAGGAAATGTTATGGAAGAAACGAAAAGAAGTTGAAAAATATTGTGTAGTTTTGACAGATGGTTGTGTTTTGACAGGTTTGTGTTAATTGGGTTGCATAACTGAAGATTTTTGTTGTTTTAAAAAAAAATTATTTATTTATATAAATAAATTTAAATCAAATTTATATTATTTGAATTAAATTATGTATTATAATCGTTTAAAATAATAATTTTAAATTAAATCCTTTATTATAGGTTTTGTTATATTAATGATACCTACTATTAAATGACATTTAACATAACCTAAAAAAAAATTACCTAAATATATTTCCACATTTATTAATAATTAAGATTAAACCACATAGACGAGATTTAATAAATACTATACATCTTTTTGATTTCATTAAATAATTTTTACTATCAATAAACTAATAGATGCAGTTTCTCTTTTATGATGATCAACAAGTTTTGATGCACAAATAAGAGAAAGATTTGCCAAATCCGTTGGATAAAGCGAACATAAAAAGGATTATTATGTACTCGCGAATTCTCTATCGTGCAATAGCCCCCAAATGTATATATTTTGTACCCCACAGCTACAGCTGCGTGATTTACTCTTCTAGGGCCAACTTCCAGATGGGTTATTCACTATATGTCGTCTTTTTGTACTTTACTTATTAACTTTTTTGGTTATTTTCATTGGTGTATTTTCATGACGTGTATAGTTTATAATTGAAGAAATGTTATGGAAGAAACGAAAAGAAATTGAAAAATTGTGTAGTTTTGACAAGTTTGTGTTAATTGGGTTGCATAACTGAAGATTTTTGTCATTTTTCAAAAAAATTATTTATTTATATAAATAAATTTAAGTGAAATCGATTCTTTGAATTAAATTTTATGTTATGGTCGTTTATAATAATAATTTTAAATTAAATCCTTTATAGGTTTTGTTATATTAATTGATACAATTAAATTTGACATTTAATATAACCTAAAAAAAAATTGTACAAATGTACAATAATTCCGGAAACATGTTAATTTTTATAAAATGTCTTAAAATTTATCGCAAAAAAATTAAAAATTGAGGTTGGTATTAATGTTTAATAATTAAATTGCTACCTTCTTTGTTGCTAACTTCGGGTTTAACGTTTTTTTTATTCAAACATTTTTGTTTTTTGAGATAAGTGCGTCATGTTTGGACTCATTTTAAAGTTTTTGTTAATAAAGAATACATCATGAAAGAACACTATGAAGTTGTCCATTTGTCTATTACATGATAACTAACTTCAGGTGTAAAATACCAATTTTGACATATTTGTAATCTTCATTAAAAATCCTTTAAAATGAGTACAAACACGACATATTTATCTTCAATATTAATGAAGTTATGGCCAACTTCCGGTTAGAAATGTCAACGTCAATTTTGACATATATGTAATTGTCGTGAAAAATCCTTTAAAATGAGCCCAAACATAATACGTTTAATTCCAATATTAGTCGAGATATAAGCAACTTCCGGTTTGAAATGTCAATGTTATTTTGATAAATTCTTAATTTTTATAAAATATCTTAATCATAAAAAAAATTAAAAATTAAGGTTGGTATTAATATTTAATAATTAAATTGCTATCTTCATTGTTAACTTAGGGTTTAATGTTTTTTTATTCTAACTTTTTTGCTTTTTGAGATAAGTGCGTCATCTTGGGACTCATTTTAAAGGTTTTTCAATGAATATGACAAATATGTCAAAATTGACGTTGACATTTCAAACCGAAAGTGATTGTATTTTCAATAATATTAAAGTTAAATATGTCGAGTTTGGATTCAATTTAAAGGATTTTTTATGAAGTTGACAAATATGTCAAAATTAAAAGTTGTAAGTTCGAACTTTTTGGTTCTTGTCTAAGACGTCCGGCTAAACCTAAAACTTAGTGTTAGTTTTAGTTTTAATAAAAATTCTTTTTTTGATTTAATCCACTTACCTTGCTTATAATTTCATTCATTTACCCATTTTGAATGAGATACAACCTTTAAATACAATTAATTATGTTTTTCATTAAAAAAAACTTAAATTCAACGTCAATTTTGACAAGCAACTGCAATATTTGGATCTTAATCACCATGGTAACCGAGTCAAGTTGGATAACCTTAAAATAATAAAATTAAAAATATCTTTTTTTTATTTAATTCACTTACCTTATTTATTACCCTAGATAAACCAATTTTAAGTTAAGTACAGCCTTAAAAAAATTCAATTTTGACAAGCACCTGTAATATTTGGATCTTAATCACCATGGTAACCGAGTCAAGTTGGATAACCTAACAATAATAAAATTATAACCGTTAACGTTTCGCTTTATATTTTAATTTTGTTTTATCTTTTTTTTTATATTTTCGTATATTGCTTCTTAAGTGAAATACACTGTGTAAATAAAAACATAGAAATGTCAATTCTTCCAAGATCTTTGAGGGGGAACCGTGGTGTTAATTGGGTTGCATAACTGAAGATTTTTGTTATTTTTCAAAAAATAATTTATTTATATAAATAAATTTAAGTGAAATCGATTTTTTGAATTAATTTATATGTTATGATCGTTTTAAATAATAATTTTAAATTAAATTCTTTATAGGTTTTGTTGTATTAATGATACAATTAAATTTGACATTTAATATAACCTAAAAAAAAAAAATTTAATATATTTCCACATTTATTAATAATTAAGATTAAACCACATAGACGAGATTTAATAAATACTATAGATCTTTTTGATTTCATTAAATAACTTTTACTATCAATAAACTAATAGCTGCTCCGATGGCTAATCCAATTCCTAAGAAAACGGTCATCATAGATGATGCAGTTTCTTTTTCATGATGATCAACAACTCTTGGTGCACAAATAAGAGAAAGATTTGCCAAATATCCGTTGGTTAAAGCGAACACAAAAAGGATCATTATGTACTCATAATCTTTATGGAAAAGTACTGGAAGGTGCTCCCTTGGTTGAGCATTTGAAAAAATTAAAAGTGGAATGAATACAATTCTTAATACTGTTAATAAAACAATCCAAATTCCACGTCTTGGCTAAAAATAAACATTTTTAATATTGAATTATTAACAATTAATGAATCACCTTTTGGATTTTTCCTGCTAAAAGTCTTCCAATGTAATCCCCTGTACTAAATAATAAATAAGCAATTACAGGTACAAAATAAACATCAGCCCACGGATCCCCATTCCCATGATTTTGCGATTCAATTAAAACAGTTAATCCAGGATAACAAGATAAACTAATTAAAAAGACTAGAAACACACTTGTCCCATATGGAAATATTTTCTTTAAAATTAATTTGTGATCAACAATTCTGGGTCGAACCAGTTCATTTTGGAATTCATTAAGAGTTATTCCAGTTTTTTCAGAAATGTGATATTTAAAAAAGACAGTTTTTGATAAAATTACGTATGAGATCAATGTTATAAAAATCATGGTGTTTCCCACCATAAAATACACAAATGCGCTGTGTACTGAGGATACTCCAAGAGTTAAAGAGATTATTTGAGCTATAGCTGCAAATATTCCACCAAGGGCTTGTCCCCCAATTGTTGCAGTTATGTATTTGGGCGAAAATTTACCCATAATTCCAAAAATACTTCCTGATAATATTGCACTACTTACTACAAAAAAGAATAAATTAAATTTTATTTAAATCATTTAAAATACTTACTATTTAAAAGAACCACGCATGTTATTGTAATAATAAAAAATTTATCTTGATCTAAAACAAAAAAATAACAATTAAAATTGTTTTAGTAAGTTATAAAATATAACTTACATTTATCAGTGTCAATATTAACAAAAACAGTAGTTACAATAAATAAAATTAACATAACAATTAATGATCCAATAACTCTTTTTTGGACAGAAACTCTACAACAAAATTTATATTATCACCTTTAAATTAACTTAAATCTTTATAAATTACTTATGATTTAAAGCTGTATTAAGAACAAGAAATAAAATATTAGGGACAGAAGAAGCAAGACTTAAATAAGAAGTAAATTCGGCTTGCAATGGCGTTCTTTTATCATAACTACTACTCAAATTAGCTGTGGTGTCTCTAAATTTATACATCCAATACTAAAAATAAAAATATTAATAAAATTAAAATTTTTTACACCTAACCTAACTTACATCATCAGCAGTAATAAAAAAATTCCATGGTAATAAAGTAGTTATTCCTAATATATAAAAAATGATATAAGCCATATGATACTTATCCTTTGGTTCGGGTGGTTTAAACAACGGTTTATCATTTTGAACAGAAACAGAAGTTTCCTCGTAACTTTGAGTAATAATATCTTCGTTTTCTGTATCGCTGTCTTGAAGTAGCGGACGCGTATTTATCGAATATTCCATTTTACAACGTTTAGGGTCCGTTTCGTGATTACATTATACTCCAGTGGAGGCTTTTAGTGCGTCTAGCGCGATACATTCTTTGTTTTCATCCTTTGAATGACGTAACGCCATTGTGCGTGTTACCACTTTGACCTAAAATTGGCATGCGATAAGAAACCAGGAAGAACGAGTATTATTATCAAAACATGTGTATCACACGATGATCTCACCGAAAACAATCTTTTTAAAGAATAGAATTATAGTCGAAAGTTTTTGTGTTGCGTTTTTATGACAGCTGTCAGTTTTGACGTTTTGGTTATTTTTTTATTTAAAATGGATTTATGAACGTGACCAAAATTTTAATTAAATTTTTATTTATTTTTTTTAATTATTTATTTATAAAAATTGTTAGTTTATTACTAAATTTAATTCGATTTTAAACTAATTTTTGGATTAATTTTTGATATATTAAAAGAAAAAAATTAATTTTTGTTGAATTAATTTATACAATAAATAATCTGTCAAATTAACCCAATTGTCAAATTTCTAGTTTAAAGTTTTAGGTACTTTAGTTAAATAAAAATATACAACAATGTGTTAATTTTTGATTTACCAAATTCTTAATAAACATTGGATTCACTTATCACGTTTGGATTCATTTTGAATGACATGATGCATTTATGTCAAAAGTGATAGAATAAAAAACATTGATCTTGAATATTTTTAGTTTTATGTATAGTGTTAATTCTACATAGTAACAGTGCTAGTGTAAAACTAGAATCTAACACTATATCTAGAACTAGAATCATTCGGGTTTAGCCGTGTTTAGAGACTTGTGGCTAAACCCAAATGACTCTAGTTCTAGGTATAGTGTTAGTTCTATATAATAACAGTGCTAGTGTAAAACTAGAACTAACACTAGACCTAGAACTAGAACTAGCATGATTTTATACTTGTCTAAATCATTAACAACTAGGTTTTAGACAATCCATGTTGCTCAAAATGACTGAAAACTAGTTGATAGAGTCATTAAAAACTTGTCTAAATGTATAAGAACTAGTTTATAGCAAGTCCAGGTTGCTCAGAACGATTGAAAACTACATCAACATTGTCCAAAATTGGTTTATAACGAAGCAAAATTGTTCAAAATGATTGGAAATAAGTTCATAGCCATGTCATGTTATTCCAAATAATTCAAAACTGGTTGAGCATAATTTTATACTTGTCTAAATGATTAATAACTAGCTTTTAGACAATCCATGTTGCTCAAAATGACTAAAAACTAGTTGATAGTTATTAAAAACTTGTCTAAATGTATAAGAACTAGTTTATAGCAAGTCCAGGTTGTTCAGAACGACTGAAAGCTGCACCAACATTGTCCAAAATTGGTCTATAAGGTAGCAAAATTGTTCAAAATGCTTCGAAATAGGTTCATAGCCATCTCATGTTGTTCAAAATAATTGATAATAGGTTGAGCATAATTTTATACTTGTCTAAATAATTAACAACTAGTTTTTAAACAATCCATGTTGCTCAAAATGACTAAAAATTAGTTGAGAGTCATTAAAAACTTGTCTAAATGATTAACAACTAGATTTAAACAATGCATGTTGCTCAAAATGACTGAAAACTAGTTGATAGTCATTAAAAACATGTCTAAATGTATAAGCACTAGTTTATAGCAAGTTTAGGTTGCTCAGAATGACTGAAAACTGCATCAACATTGTCTAAAATTGGTTTATAAGATAGCAAAATTGTTCAAAATGATTGGAAATAAGTTTGTAGCCATCTCATGTTATTCCAAATAATTGAAAACTGGTTGAGCATAATTTTATACTTGTCTAAATGATTAATAACTAGCTTTTAGACAATCCATGTTGCTCAAAATGACTAAAAACTAGTTAATAGTCATTAAAAACTTGTCTAAATGTATAAGAACTAGTTTATAGCAAGTCCAGGTTGTTCAGAACGACTGAAAACTGCACCAACATTGTCCAAAATTGGTCTATAAGGTAGCAAAATTGTTCAAAATGCTTCGAAATAGGTTCATAGCCATTTCATGTTATTCAAAATCATTGAAAATTGGTTGAGCATAATTTTATACTTGTCTAAATGATTAACAACTAGTTTTTAAACAATCCATGTTGCTCAAAACGACTAAAAACTAGTTGATAGTCATTAAAAACTTGTCTAAATATATAAGGACTAGTTTATAGCAAGTCTAGGTTGCTCAGAATGACTGAAAACTGCACCAACATTGTCTAAAATTGGTTTATAAGGTAGCAAAATTGGTCAAAATGATTGGAAATAAGTTGATAGCCATCTCATGTTGTTCAAAATAATTGATAAAAGGTTGATCATAATTTTATACTTGTCTAAATGATTAACAACTAGTTTTTAAGCAATCCATGTTGCTCAAAATGACTAAAAATTAGTTGATAGTCATTAAAAACTTGTCTAAATGTACAAGAACTAGTTTATAGCAAGTCCAGGTTGTTCAGAACGACTGAAAACTGCACCAACATTGTCTAAAATTGGTTTATAAGGTAGCAAAATTGGTCAAAATGATTGGAAATAAGTTGATAGCTATCTCATGTTGTTCAAAATAATTGATAAAAGGTTGATCATAATTTTATACTTGTCTAAATGATTAACAACTAGTTTTTAAGCAATCCATGTTGCTCAAAATGACTAAAAATTAGTTGATAGTCATTAAAAACTTGTCTAAATGTACAAGAACTAGTTTATAGCAAGTCCAGGTTGTTCAGAACGACTGAAAACTGCACCAACATTGTCTAAAATTGGTTTATAACGTAGCAAAATTGTTCAAAATGATTGGAAATAAGTTGATAGCCATCTCATGTTATTCCGAATCATTGAAAACTGTTTGAGCATAATTTCATACTTGTCTAAATGATTAATAACTAGTTTTTAAACAATCCATGTTTCTCAAAATAATTGAAAACTAGTTGATAGTCAGTAAAAACTTGTCTAAATGTATAAGCACTAGTTTATAGCAAGTTGAAGTTGCTCAGAATGACTAAAAACTGCACCAACATTGTCTAAAATTGGTTTATAAGGTAGCAAAATTGGTCAAAATGATTGGAAATAAGCTGATAGCCATCTCATGTTATTCCAAGTCATTGAAAACTGTTCGAGTATAATTTTATACTTGTCTAAATGATTAACAACAAGTTTTTAGACAATCCATGTTGCTCAAAATGACTGAAAACTAGTTGATAGTCAATAAAAACTTGTCTAAATGAATAGGGACTAGTTTATAGCAAGTCCAAGTTCACCTAGTTTTGCACTAGCATTATCACTAGAGATAACACAAGACCTATAACTAGAATAATTGGGATTTAGCAGTTTTGAGAGACGTGTGTCTAAGCTCGAATGTTTCTAGTTCTAGATCTAGTGTTAGTTCTAGTTTTGCACTATTATTAGAACTAACACAAGGCCTAGAACTGGAATAATTCGGGTTTAGCTGTCTTGAGAGATTAAATGCGACTAAATTAAATATTAAATATAATATAGACTTCTAATATCCTTCGTTTAAAAAATTCATTGAATTACATTTCAGGAGGTGAGATATTATTATTTTCTGGGATGTATGTAAACTTTATTGTATCACTGTACATATATTTTAGGCGCAAGCGCTTTAAATAAGAATTTAAACAGCATTCGGATCGATAAAGTCCTAAAATCGAACGAATTCTACGGTTAAGAAACTTGACTGCAATCTAATCAATTTTGCGTCCCCGTTTTTTTTCCCCAGATATTTCCGACCGAAGTGTTGCGATTTCAGCCAGAACGCTGTGCAAGGTGTACCCCAGTCCGGGCAGTGCCCGCAGCGTATGGGCCCTGCCCCAGACTTCCTGCAGCATGGTCGCTGAAACAGATCATCCTGCCAACAACTTAGAAAATCGAGATGGTGGCCCTCAACCTGAACCCGACAACCAAGAATCATCACCGGATAAAATAATTTTTGACCTTATTAAAAGCGGGTAAGCAAAACAAGTTAAAAATTTTCTTTAAATAAATCATTAAACAATTTTATTCAGTGAATTATCCGATATAGAAGAACAAGTTGAAAAATCTGGTACTCAAATCTTAAGAGCACGTGATGAATGGGGTTACACACCGGCCCATTGGGCTGCTTTAGATGGAACCATAGAAATAATGCGTTATTTAGTGGATAGAGGGGCCCCAATAGATCTTTCATGTCTTGGAACACAAGGTCCAAGACCGATACATTGGGCTTGTCGAAAAGGTCACGCTGCAGTCGTCCAAGTGCTCCTCCAAGCTGGAGTTGCAGTAAACGCGGCTGATTTTAAAGGATTAACTCCTTTAATGACAGCTTGCATGTTTGGACGAACAGCAACAGCAGCTTTTCTTCTTGGAATGGGTGCTCTAAATAATTTGGTTGATGTAAATGGTGACACAGCGTTGCATTGGGCTGCTTATAAAGGACACGCCGACGTAATGAAATTGTTGATGTATTCTGGGGCAAATTTACAAAAACCCGATCATTTTGGATCAACCCCTTTACATTTAGCATGCATTTCCGGGAACGTTCATTGTGTTAAATTGTTGTGCGAAAAGAATAACATCGAATTAGATCCTTTAGATAAAAACGACAAAACCCCTTTGATGTTGGCGCAAAGTCACCGACATGGAGATATCGTTCAAGTTCTTCAAATCGAGAAGAAAAGGAGATCGAGTTGGTTTCCTTCTTTAAATGAAGTGTGGGGGTTGTTATTTGGAAAAGCGGGAAATTCGAAAATACCTTTATTGTTTTTTATGGTTTCGGTGGTTTTATGGGGATATCCGATGTATGTTGTTAGGGTGAGTAATTTTAAATTATTAATTATTCAATTAAATCACTAATTATTTTTGTCCACGACTACCTTATAATATATACCTTATGAATTAGTAATGGCGGTTATATGTCAAACATTGTCAAATTTAGGAGAGGTTAAGCAGCGAAAAATCGTTAATATTAATTTATAATAAAATTTATGTAATTATTTATTTATTTATCAAATACTTTAAAAGGTTATTTACAAGTCGCAAGGGATTAACCCTTTGTGTCCCGACGGTACTTTAAAGTACCGGTAATTTTAAACACTCATTTTAAACTGTAGTTATCTATTCGGCGCATTTAGAGCTGTCTGTACTTTCTACTATACAAGTGTATACAAGAAATAATCTGTATAAAAAACGTCGCAATCCGCACTGTAGGATTTTTAGGTACACTTTAAACTTATTCATCCAGATGTGAGGTTAGAAGTTTAGTGAAAAGTGGTGCTGTTGAATTTTGTTGTTCAAGAAGGTATTTCTTTGATAAATGGTTATTAGGTGTGATTATTACAGATCATTTTAAAAAGAAAACATTGAGCTTAAATTTAAAATAAGTCTCATTCCTTAATTTCAATAAACATGGTTTCTAAGAATTTTTAAATTAGCATCTTTTTTGACTCTTTTAAATGTAAGTGTTGTTTCAACATTTTTTTTCTTAATATTTTTCCAATCCAACCCAACAATTATTATACATCATTTTAAAGAGAAAGCTTTGAGCTTTAATTTAAAATAAGTCTCATTCCTTAATTTCAATAAATACGGCTTACAGGAATTTTTAAATTAGCATCTTTTTAACATTTTTAGGTTATTCGAAAATGTAAGTTTTGTTTCAAAATTCTTTTTCTCTATATTTTTCCAATCCAACCCAACAATTATTATACATCATTTTAAAAAGAAAGCTTTGAGCTTTAATTTACAATAAGTCTCATTCTTTAATTTCCATAAATACGGCTTCCAGGAATTTTTAAATTAGCATCTTTTTTTAGGTTATACGAAAATGTTAGTTTTAACTCAATACTCTTTTTCTCAATATTTTTTTAATTCAACCCATCGATTGTTATAGATCGATTTAAACAGAAAGCTTCAAGCTTCAATTTAAAATAAGTTTTATTTCTTAATTTCAATAAACACGGTTTCCAGGAATTTTTGAATTAGCATTTTTTTTGACACTTAGACTATGCGAAAATAGGGTTAATTAACTCAGGTTAATTATGCCTTCGTGAATAATACCCCTCATTATATGCTCATATAATAATATACTATTATGGAATCAATTTCAATAGTCGTGGACAAAGTATTATATTTTACTCGCATATAATGAGCTAATATTCACTCAGGTTAATTATGCCACTCGCTACGCTCGTGACATAAACTTAACCTTCGTGAATAATACCCCTCATTATATGCTCATATAATAATATACTATTTTAGTGTATCCCAATAACTTGGAATAATCTCCGTGGATCTCATTATTGCTTTATTTATTGGAACATCGTAATGTGGGTGTGTTGGGTGGTTGCAAATCGCAAAGATCCCGGTTATATCCCAATGAACACCGATTCATACAGCCGGGCGATAAAACAAATCCCTTATTTCGATAAATGGAAGAAACGAAACGCAATTTTAAACCGATTATGTCACACTTGTCGATGTTTGCGCCCTTTAAGAGCGAAACATTGTAGGGTGTGTAATCGATGCGTTTCTTATTTCGATCATCACTGTCCTTTTATCTATAACTGCGTTGGATTAAGAAATCGAACTTGGTTTTTTCTCTTCGTTATGAGCGTAGCAATTAATTGCTCCTTTACCATTTATTTTGCAACTTATTGCATTGCAATCGAGGGATTTGGAGTAATGTATATTCTTGGATTAATCGAAGCGTTCGTATTTTCTGGATTAGGATGGATTTTAACATGCACATCAGTAAGTTATTTTTAATTAATTTCTTTTTAATTCAAAATTTAAAAATTTTCTTTAATATAGGTTCTTCACGCTTGCATGAATTTAACAACGAACGAAATGTTTAATTATAAACAATATTCGTATCTTAGAGATAAAAGAGGAAGGTATTTCAATCCGTTTTCGCGCGGTCCGATTTTGAATTTAATCGAATTCTTTTTCTGCACGCCCGATGAATTTGACGATGACTATGCTTATGATATATGATGTAAGTTACACTCCGATTATTATCCGAAATGCGTTTGTAAGTACACGAAATGCGGGACACCCTGAAAATTGATATCGATACGAAAAATACGCTTTATATAAACTTTTTTCGTTTTGTGTTTCATGTAAATATGGCTGTTTAACAAATCGTTTGTATTTTTATTAATAAAATTGTTAGAAAATTTTCAAAAAGTGTTTTATATGTATATAACTTTATATTTTATATAAACCGAGGCCGCTTGCGGCCGAGGCAGTCATTATATGTTCACCAATTTTGGTTTAATTACAATATCACACACTTTTATCTTTTATATAAACCGAGGCCGCTTGCGGCCGAGGCAGTCATTATATGTTCACCAATTTTGGTTTAATTACAATATCACACACTTTTATCTATAACTTAAGCCGAGGTCGCTTGAGGCCGAGGCAGTCCATATATGTTTGCCACTATTGGTTTAATCAGGCAATATTATACACTTTCCCTTCTAAGTTAAGCCGAGGTCGCTTGCGGCCGAGGCAGTTCATATATGTTGACCAATTTTGGTTTAATTAGGCAATATCACACACTTTCATCTATAACTTAAGCCGAGGTCGCTTGCGGCCGAGGCAGTCCATATATGTTTACCAATATTGGTTTAATCAGGCAATATTATACACTTTCCCTTCTAAGTTAAGCCGAGGTCGCTTGCGGACGAGGCAGTTCATATATGTTGACCAATTTTGGTTTAATTAGGCAATATCACACACTTTCATCTATAACTTAAGCCGAGGTCGCTTGCGGCCGAGGCAGTCCATATATGTTTGCCACTATTGGTTTCATCAAGCAATATTATACACTTTCCCTTCTAAGTTAAGCCGAGGTCGCTTGCGGCCGAGGCAGTTCATATATGTTGGCCAATTTGGTTTAATTAGGCAATATCACACATTTTCATCTATAACTTAAGCCGAGGTCGCTTGCGGCCGAGGCAGTCCATATATGTTTGCCACTATTGGTTTAATCAGGCAATATTATACACTTTCCCTTCTAAGTTAAACCGAGGTCACTTGCGGCCGAGGCAGTTCATATATGTTGACCAATTTGGTTTAATTAGGCAATATCACACACTTTCATCTATAACTTAAGCCGAGGTCGCTCGCGGCCGAGGCAGTCAGTATATGTTTACCAATTTTGGTTTAATCAGGCAATATTACACACTTTCCCTTCTCAGTGTAAGCCGAGGTCGCTTGCGGCCGAGGCAGTCAGTATATATTCATCAATTTTGGTTTAATTAGACAATATCACACACTTTCATCTTTAACTCAAGCCGAGGTCGCTTGCGGCCGAGGCAGTCCATATACAGGTGTTCCTGTAACTCGTGGCATAGTTTTAATCACAAATTAGAGTTAAAATGATGATTCGTGTAAAAATTAAAAAGTTAAGAAATTTTTAAACATTTTCTTAAATAATTAGGTGAATAAAATTACTTTGCTTTTGAGATGGATATATTTTATTTTTGGCTCAAGCGGTTTCAACTATTTTTAGTCATCTTCAGGAGCTTTAGCCAGCTAATACATAATATCAAAATCAAATTAAAAGCTACACATTAAAATTGTTTGTCTTTTAATAGAAAACACATAGTTTTTAGGTAAATTTATAAGTAAATATAATATATTACGGCATTATTTAAATTTAAAATGCGCGGTTATATTCACAAGATAGAACATAACCTATAAATTTGTTACCTAGTCAAACGTTTGACTAGGCTTACCTTTGATTATATATATGGATTGAGCTAACTGAATATATCTACTAACAAAAATGTGGCTCTAGGTGAATAGACGCAGATGGAAAGCGATAATGTGAAAGTGTAACAAAGATAGACATAAAACGGTACTAAACAGACGGGCGCATGCGCACAAAAGTGTCAAACCTCTTCCATTTGACGTTTATCGTTTTGTTGTGTCACAGNCGAGGCAGTTCATATATGTTGACCAATTTTGGTTTAATTAGGCAATATCACACACTTTCATCTATAACTTAAGCCGAGGTCGCTTGCGGCCGAGGCAGTCCATATATGTTTACCAATATTGGTTTAATCAGGCAATATTACACACTTTCCCTTCTCAGTGAAGCCGAGGTCGCTTGCGGCCGACGCAGTTCATATATGTTGACCAATTTTGGTTTAATTACACAATATCACACACTTTCATTTATAACTTAAGCCGAGGTCGCTTGCGGCCGAGGCAATCCATATATGTTTACCAATATTGGTTTAATCAGGCAATATTATACACTTTACCTTCTAAGTTAAGCCGAGGTCGCTTGCGACCGAGGCAGTCCATATATGTTTACCAATATTGGTTTAATTAGGCAATATCACACACTTTCATTTATAACTTAAGCCGAAGTCGCTTGCGGCGGAGGCAGTCCATATATGTTTACCAATATTGGTTTAATCAGGCAATATTATACACTTTCCCTTCTAAATTAAGCCGAGGTCGCTTGCGGCCGAGGCAGTCAGTATATATTCATCAATTTTGGTTTAATTAGACAATATCACACACTTTCATCTTTAACTCAAGCAGAGGTCGCTTGCGGCCGAGGCAGTCCATATACAGGTGTTCCTGTAACTCGTGGCATAGTTTTAATCACAAATGTTAGAGGTAAAATGATGATTCGTGTAAAAATTAAAAAGTTAAGAAATTTTTAAACATTTTCTTAAATAATTAGGTGAATAAAATAACTTTGCTTTTGAGATGGATATGTTTTATTTTCGGCTCAACCGGGTTCAACTATTTTTAGTCATCTTCAGGAGCTTTAGCCAGCTAATACATAATATAAAAATCAAATTAAAAACTACACATTAAAATTGTTTGTCTTTTAATAGAAAACACATAGTTTTTAGGTAAATTTATAAGTAAATATAATATATTACGGCATTATTTAAATTTAAAATGCGCGGTTATATTCACAAGATAGAACATAACCTATAAATTTGTTACCTAGTCAAACGTTTGACTAGGCTTACCTTTGATTATATATATGGATTGAGCTAACTGAATATATCTACTAACAAAAATGTGGCTCTAGGTGAATAGACGCAGATGGAAAGCGATAATGTGAAAGTGTAACAAAGATAGACATAAAACGGTACTAAACAGACGGGCGCATGCGCACAAAAGTGTCAAACCTCTTCCATTTGACGTTTATCGTTTTGTTGTGTCACAGCCAGTCACACCGTTATGTTTAAAAATGTATTGTTTCGTGTGCAAAGTTCGCGATAATACAGTTTCACATCACCTGTAAGTATTATAAATGTTACTTCTAATTGATAGTTTTTTATCTTATAAATCAAAAAAAAATTAACGCACGCCCATTATATGTCAGTACGCTTCTATGTCTATCTCGGTTCGATCACCTTGCGCAAGCTATCTCTCTCGTTGGCTCAATCCATATTATATATAATCAAAGCTTTTAATAGAAAACACATGTTTTTTAGGTAAATTTATAAGTAAATATTAAATTTAAAATGTGCGGCTATATTCACAAGATAGAACATAACCTATAAATTTGTTACCTAGTCAAACGCTTACGAAAATTATTCGACTTTCTACAAATCATCCATAAGCATGTCTATTTATTGTAGTTTTCCTCATATTGGGAAATGTATCAAAATATGCATGAAATGCCAGAATCTGTATGGTTTTTTTATTTGAAGGTCATGGAATTTTGACTACTAATAATTTTGCAATATTTATTTAAAGTCAACGCATACGTTTCGGATACGTTTGGAATTTAAGCAATCAGAATTGAAATTTTCGTTCTTAGATCAGGATCACATAATACCGAGAAGGTAAATAACTCCTTAAAATATTACCACGAGTAAATATAGTTTTCTTTTTTATAAGATTGAACCTTTTGAATAATAGATGGCGCTCGATAATTATTTCAATTTATTTTTAAATTTTCATAAACTAAAGGAATTCATACACCAAAAAGGATTTTATGAAAGTTAAAAATAGATTTCATCATACACTTTCCTTTCTAAATTAAACCGAAGTCATTTGCAACCTCAGCTTAAGTAAAAAATTAAAGTGTATTGCCTACATAAACCAAAATTGGTGAAGCAGTTGGTACAGCAAGATCCAAAATTACGATACGGCTGTAAAAAACCCTTATTAAGGGTTGGGTTGGGATGGGTTATATAGTTAACAATATTTAAAGTTAACAAGTTTTAGAGTAAAGCAAAAAATAAACTTCTAAACTTGTTTTTAGTGTCGTCGAAGATATTAAATTTTGCAGTTTCCTGTAAATTATAACTAAAAATTAAAAAAACATATTTCTGATACTTGAAACAAATACATTTGTTGAACTATTTAGTTTATATTTCTTTTACACAAAAGTTGGAATAGATTGCATTATTTCTCATTTTTTATTAATATTTAATATTATTATTATATGACTTAATAAATTATTGATAGATGGCGCTCATATATTTTTTTTAATTCAAATAAAAATAGCAACATTTATTTGTATTCAAAAATTTTCTGAAGTGTTAAATTAAAAATCCTGTTTTTTAAGATGGATTTAAGAAATTACGAAAAGTTTAACATGTTAAAATGTTACATATTAGAAAATAAAGTAAATTTTATATAAATTTTTAGTAGAATAATTTTTAGTAGGAAACTGTAAATTTAATTTCTTTGACGACACTAAAAAAAAGTTTATTTTTAGCTTTATTCTAAAACAATAAGAAATAGACCTATCTAACCCCATATTTTTGTAATCAGAAAAAAATAACGAATTTAATAAGCGTAAGTGGTTGTTTCCATTTAAAAAAACGAAAATTGTCATAGTATCTCAAAATCTAAAACCGAAAAATTTTTTTTGACTACGTCATCAGATTCTTTGTAAAAAAGTGTACATATAATGTCTTAGTTATAATACTCCACCTATAATAATAACCAAGATAATTGCACGTCCTGGTTTTACGATATTTTAAATTTTGGCCTATAGGGGAAAAACAAAAGACGATAGCGCTTTGAGGTTTTTGGCATTAGCAGTTTCTCGAAAAACGAGATCATGACATTTAAGCTACTTTTTTTCTAACTCTTATAGTTTCCGAGTTAACCTATTCGGAAATCGAATTTGAACCACCCTGTACATAAACAAGTCATAAATAAAGAGGTATCTTTTGGGTTCACACAAATCAGACAGAAAATAAGCATAATTTACAAGAATCAGATAGTGATTTTCGATGTTATTAATATTATTATTATTTATTATTATTATATAGTTTACTGACCAATTCAGTTAAGTGTAATGAACGCAAAGAAATTTGTTGGTACGTCCCTGACATTCTAAACTATACGGGGTTCTCGGTCTCGTCTGAGGTAAAAATGGCGATGGAAAAAGAAATGTTATTTAGAGTAAGAGGAGGGATATTGGAAGTATTAAATTAGTTTGAAAATTAGGTAACAAAATATGGTATTGCGCCATCTAATAAGTTTATCTCTAATTAAAAGCAAAGTTTTAAACCAAATTAGAATATATTTTTTTAATTTATGAAAATCTCACAAAAATAAGATAAACAAAAAAAGTAATTAGAAATTTTTTATTTTCAATTTATACATATAAATAACAACTCATAATAAAAACTATACGAACCCGTAAAATAAAAGAAAAACAACATTTAACACGGATATTAGCCTTATGTAACAATAAACTACGCAGTAGAAAAAAAATAGATTAATTAATACAGATTTAATTATATAACATGATCTAGAAGAAATTATAAAAACAATACTGCCTATTAATCTAAACTCATTATTTTTTTTGATGTTTTTGAGTCATTTTAGTAATTTTCGTTAAAAATTGATATGTATTTAGATATGTATCATCACAAGAGTCATAAATAAAAAGAATTAAAGCCATGTCCAACAACAAAAATAGATATTAATTTTAATATCGACTGCAAAAAAAAAAATCAATATTTATTTTTTCGTCGCATAAACCACCAACAATTGATATTTAGTCTCAATTTTTTCTTCGTTGTTATTCTCATTCCGGATGATGCAATTCAATTTTCGCACTTCATCGAAGATATCTTCGAAGTAATCTTTGCGAAGTCCTTCCGGAATTCTTGCTTGGAATGGATTTATGGCTATCACAGATTCTAAATTAAAAAAGAATTATCAAAACGAATCGAAACAAATTAAATTTAAACTTACGTTTCCACGTTTCTAAATCGTGAAATATAAATGTACGATCGACCAATTCGCATTTTTTCACTTTAAATCCAACATCAGCCATCACCTTGTGAAGTTCTTTTTCGGGATCTTCTAAATTATGATAAGGAGATAAATACTTTTTGACATCTTTCATGTATTGGGCCCATCTATTATTTTTTGATAAATTATCGTAAACGGTAAAAATTGGATTTCTTGCTAAAAATGTTATTAGAAGATCGCCGTTTTCATCGAGGAGGTTATAAAGATTTTCGAAACATTGTCTAAAAGAAAAAAGTTGTGTTAAAAAATTTTTTAATGGATTTTGTTATCGTTTCGGAATTTTGATGGGCTAATAAACGAGGAAATTGTGTAAGAAAAGGAGTTGTGACAGAAAAGAAGAAATGCATTCCGAATTTTGTTGATTGGTTTGGGTCAATGGACTGCTACATGGATCGCCGAATAATAATTCGTTGCATCATCGAATAGCCAAAGATTTTTGTTAGAAAAAAAAATTAAATTTAAGGTCATCGACTTTATTGGATTAATTAAAAAAAAGTTACTTACTTTTGATCTTGCACCCAATGTAAACAATAAAATGAAAAAATGTGTTGAAAACAATTTCCATCAAGTAAATGAACATCGTCTAAAACACCACCAACATCCATAACATCATATTCAACTTTTTCTCTTCGATTATTATCTCGTGCAAATTTGATCATATCCTTTGAGATATCAACTCCAAGTAATTTTTCAGCGTTTTTTGGCAGTAATGGTAATAATAGATCGATGGTAACGTTTCCATCTCCGCATCCAACATCCAACACGGTTTCATCTAAGTCTCCGTTCCACTTCACCAGGTTAAAATAATTATCCAGAACGTACTTTGCGTCGTTCTTCTGGAGTCCGTTGTAGTTAGAGTAGAGTTTTGCCTGGTACATTTCTCTCCTCTCCTCTTTGCGCACTCGGAATCTTCCTTCAGGTTGGACTACAATATTTTTTCGGAGCGCGGCAACTTTTATACATCTAGACAATTTTTTTCGGGGGGCGGGGGAAGGGATTTACATATATAACGTTTTGAATAATTCCCTGAAAGTTTGATGGTTCATTCACAATTTTATAATGACGTATTTTATTGATTGTAGTTTCGCTTATCGAATTTCGGATGTATTTACGCGATATTTTTAGTAACTACGATAATTTGTTGTTGTACACTATTGTATAATTACAGCACGTGTATAGAATTGAGTCATCACATTTTTTAGCGAGGTAGAAATTTTTTAGATTTCAAATAAACACAAAGTACACTTAGTTTAATGAATTATTTGAAATTATCTGCGTCGCTGTTAAAGTTTTAACACGAATTGTATTAAAAAACCATGTGAAAACGCTTGGTTGCTTATGAGGAGTATCTAAAACACCTTTAGACAAGTTCAAAATGATTTTAGACAATCTCAAACATTTATAAACCGTTTTAGACAAACTTAGAGACTCTTAAAAATAATCGGGGAACTTATCAAAATCATTTAGACACATTTAAATCGTTAATAAATGAACTAAAACTCACTTTTAGCAATTTTTAGACAATTTGAAGGTGTTCCAAATAGTTTTTGAACAACATTGAAATCACCCAAATGATTTTAAACAATTTTAGACATTACTAGGTTACTTCCAAATGAATTTAGACAACTTTAAATTAAAAAACAAGGTTCAAAACGAATTTTTAAAATATTTTGACACGTTCAAACCCTTTCAAATAGTTGTTACACAATTTTAAATAGTTCTCAATTAATTTTAGATTGTATTAATTGATAATAAATCACTTTAGACAACTATAAACATTGATAAGTGATCTTTAGACACTTTTAAAATCATTTAGACATCTTTAAATGATTAATAAATGATTTGAAAAGAATTTGTCGCAATTCTGCATAATTTTAGAAGTTTCTAAATTACTTTTTGGCTTAGTGAAGATGTTCCAAATAACTTTTAGACAATAAAAAAGGCTCATAAATGATTTTAAACAATTTTAGACATTACTAGGTTACTTCCGAATGAATTTAGACAACTTGAAATTACAAACAAGGTTCAAAACGAATTTTTAAAATATTTTGACACGTTCAAAACTTTTCAAGTTTCAATTTTGAATAGTTCTAAATTAATTTTAAATTGTATTAATTGATAATAAATCACTTTAGACAACTATAAACATTGATAAGTGATCTTTAGACATTTTTAGATAAATCAGATAATCTTAAAAATAATCGGGGAAATTACCAAAATCATTTAGACATCTTTAAATGATTAATAAATGATTTGAAAAGAATTTGTCGCAATTCCGCACAATTTTAGAAGTTTCTAAATTACTTTTTGACTTTTTGAAGATGTTCCAAATAACTTTTAGACAATAAAAAAGGCTCATAAATGATTTTAAACAATTTTAGACATTACTAGGTTACTTCCGAATGAGTTTAGACAACTTGAAATTACAAACAAGATTCAAAACGAATTTTTAAAATATTTTGATACGTTCAAAACTTTTCAAGTTTCAATTTTGTATAGTTCTAAATTAATTTTAAATTGTATTAATTGATAATAAATCACTTTAGACAACTATAAACATTGATAAGTGATCTTTAGACATTTTTATATAAATGAGATAATCTTAAAAATAATCGGGGAAATTACCAAAATCATTTAGACATCTTTAAATGGTTAATAAATGATTTGAAAACAATTTGTCGCAATTCTGCACAATTTTAGAAGTTTCTAAATTACTTTTTGACTTTTTGAAGATGTTCCAAATAACTTTTAGACAATAAAAAAGGCTCATAAATGATTTTAAGCAATTTTAGACATTACTAGGTTACTTCCGAATTAATTTAGACAACTTGGAATTACAAACAAGGTTGAAAACGAATTTTTAAAATATTTTGACACGTTCAAAACTTTTCAAGTAGTTGTTACACAAATTTGAATAGTTCTAAATTAATTTTAGATTGTATTAATTGATAATAAATCACTTTAGACAACCTTAAATGATTAATAAATGACTTGAGTAAAAAGTTGTTGCAATTCTGAATGAATTTAGATGCTTCCAAATAATTTCCGGACTTTTTGAAGAGGTTTCAATTGATTTTTAGACAATAAAAAGGCTCATAAATGATTTTAAACAATTTTAGTCACTTCTAATCGTTCTCCAAAAGTATTTGGACAACTTTAAATTTTAAGCAGGATTCAAAGCAAGTTTCAATCAATTTTGGACAAGTTCAAAACTTTCAAAGGCATTCATAGACAATTTTTGAGACTCCAAAATTACTTTTAGGTAACATTATATACTTTTAAGCGATTTTAGACAACTTCAAACATTGATAAGTGTTTTTTAGACAATTTTAGATGAATCAGACAATCTTAAAAGTAGTCGGATAAATTTCCGAAATCATTTAGACAACTTTAAATGATTAATAAATGACTTGATACAAAGTTGTCGCAATTCCACACAATTTTAGAAGTTTCTAAATAATTTTTAGACTTTTTGAAGATGTTCCAAATGATTTTTAGACAACACAAAAGGTTCATAAATGATTTTAAACAATTTTAGTCACTTCTAACCGTTCTCTAAAAGTATTTAGACAATTTTAAATATTAAGCAGAATTCAAAGCGAATTTCAACCAATTTTGAACAAGTTCAAAACTTTTACAGGAATTCGTAGACAATTTTAATTATTCCAAAATTATATTTAGGTAATAATAAATACTTTTAAGCCAGTTTAGACATTAATAAATGACTTGAAAAAAAGTTGTCGTATTTCTGAACGAATTTAGATGCTTCCAAATAATTTGTGGACTTTTTGAAGTTGTTGCAATTGATTTTTAGACAACAAAAAAGGTTCATAAATGATTTTAAACAATTTTAGTCAATTCTAATCGTTCTCCAAAAGTATTTAGACAACTTTTAATTTTACGCAGGATTCAACGCGAATTTCAACCAATTTTGAACAAGTTCAAAACTTTAACAGGAATTCGTAGACAATTTTAATTATTCCAAAATTATTTTTAGGTAATAATAAATACTTTTAAGCGATTTTAGACATTAATAAATGACTTGAAAAAAAGTTGTCGCATTTCTGAACGAATTTAGATGCTTCCAAATGATTTTTAGACAACAAAAAAGGTTCATAAATGATTTTAAACAATTGTAGTTACTTCTAACCGTTTTCTTAAAGTATTTAGACAACATTAAATTTTAAGCAGGATTCAAAGCGAATTTCAACCAATTTTGAACAAGTTTAAAACTTTTACAGGAATTCCAAAATGCTTAATTAAATTGCTTAATTAAAATTAGGACGAAATAGAATGATCTAGAACGCAAAAAAAATCATCAATTGACCATGACTTAGTTTTTTAATACTTGACCTAATCTTTTATGGTTCATAAACGACCGAAAAAACGTTTTAACAAATTATATTTTTTTCTATTAAACTTACTTAGTAAGAATATTCTTTAAATCGCAAAAGAATTTGGCCCAAAAAATGAGGTAAACAAATAAAAAAACAAATACGTTTTGGTCCTCTTGATGACGTCAAATCTAAAATTGTTAAAGAGATATTCCGGAAGTGGTTCTCTCGAAACGATTCGAAAAATTTCGCAATATTTTGTAAATCATTTTAGTTTCTTCCTCGTAATCAAAATGAGATTAAAATTGTTGTAAAAAACTGACCTCGCCCAATATGGTAATAAAATTAATAAAACACAATTTTTATTAACGTCACCGGTTTTTGCGTTTATGCAAATGGTTAAAGTGAAATCGAATCGATTAACACCATTAGTTAATTTCAATCCGGGAATTTTTGAAAAATTTGTTTCGAATCTTGGAATAAAAGGTGTCTAAATACTTTTGGAAAGTTCTAAAATTGTGCAAAATTTCGAAAACTGTTTTTGAAAACATTTATTAATCATTTACAGTTGTCTAAATGATTTTGGCAATTTCCCCGATTACTTTTAAGATTGTATGATTTATCTAAAATTGTCTAAAAAACACTTATAAATGTTTAAAGTTGTCTAAAATCGCTTAAAAATATATAATGTTACCTAAAAGTAATTTTGGAGTCTTTAAAATATTCTACGAATGTCTTTGAAAGTTTTGAACTTGTTCAAAATTGATTGAAATTCGCTTTGAATCCTGCTTAAAATTTAAAGTTGTCTAAACACTTTTGGAGAACGATTAGAAGTGATTAAAACTGTTTAAAATCATTTATGAGCCTTTTTATTGTCTAAAAATCAATTGGATCATCTTTACAAAGTCCAAAAATTATTTGGAAGCACCTAAATTCGTTCAGAAATGCGACAACTTTTTATCAAGTCATTTATTAATCATTTAAAGTTGTCTAAATGATTTCGGAAATTTATCCGACTACTTTTAAGATTGTCTGATTCATCTAAAATTGTCTAAAAAACACTTATCAATGTTTGAAGTTGTCTAAAATCGCTTAAAAGTATATAATGTTACCTAAAAGTAATTTTGGAGTCTCAAAAATTGTCTATGAATGCCTTTGAAAGTTTTGAACTTGTCCAAAATTGATTGAAACTTGCTTTGAATCCTGCTTAAAATTTAAAGTTGTCCAAATACTTTTGGAGAACGATTAGAAGTGACTAAAATTGTTTAAAATCATTTATGAGCCTTTTTATTGTCTAAAAATCAATTGAAACCTCTTCAAAAAGTCCGGAAATTATTTGGAAGCATCTAAATTCATTCAGAATTGCAACAACTTTTTACTCAAGTCATTTATTAATCATTTAAGGTTGTCTAAAGTGATTTATTATCAATTAATACAATCTAAAATTAATTTAGAACTATTCAAATTTGTGTAACAACTACTTGAAAAGTTTTGAACGTGTCAAAATATTTTAAAAATTCGTTTTCAACCTTGTTTGTAATTCCAAGTTGTCTAAATTAATTCGGAAGTAACCTAGTAATGTCTAAAATTGCTTAAAATCATTTATGAGCCTTTTTTATTGTCTAAAAGTTATTTGGAACATCTTCAAAAAGTCAAAAAGTAATTTAGAAACTTCTAAAATTGTGCAGAATTGCGACAAATTCTTTTCAAATCATTTATTAATCATTTAAAGACGTCTAAANAAAATCATTTAGACATCTTTAAATGATTAATAAA